TATTCTTTGTGCAACGTTCAGTACCCAAAATAATTGTGACATTTCTACTTGATACATTAAATGTCCTTAATAGAGCCTTTTTACTTATAAAATCATAGGGTTTTCTTGTTCTTTTTTTTTTTTTTTGCAGTTTTTGGCTGGGGCTGGGTTTGAACCCACCACCTCCAGCATGTGGAGCCAGTGCCCTACTCCTTTGAGCCACAGGTGCTGCCCTCAAAATCATAGTTTTAAAATTTACTAAAGGTACTTAGCTTTCCTCAGGATCATCGGTCTCCCACTTGCCGGCTTAGCACTGATACTAGCTAGCTCTGAGTTTTTCTTCAACCAAGGTATAACAATTTTTTTCCTAATGTCGTCCTTTTCCCCTTCATTTTTTTCTCACTTATGTCAACACAAGCGTTTATTCATTAGTCAATCAACAGACATATTGAACACCTGCTGTATGCCAGGCCTTGCCAGGTACTGATTTGATGATAGGAAATACCTCCCTCCACCCCAGTGGTACTTCTAAAATCTGTATTTCCATCATGACCAGAGACAAGAGAAATGGAGGGTGCAGAGTACATTACTTTTTAAAATCCTCTTGCCTGTTCCTTATGGCAGGCAAATGAGTTTGTAAAGGTCTCGCAAGTGAGTGAGTTTGCAAAGGTCTCGTCTGGTGGCTTTTAGGTTCTGAGATATGGGCCAGTGTTCCTTTCATTGTTGCTTAGCTGCTTTGTGCAATATACCCCAGGGGTTCACATTTCTCATTTCCAGAGAATCCATCCCACACCAGCTTCTCTGCCATGTTGCCCATACACCACATCCTAGTCTGGCATGGTAGAAGCTGTGGAGAGGCTCCCATCTCAGCACAATATGCAGCTCTTTGCTGCATGATCTTTGATAGGTGGTGTCCTCTCCTGAGCTTTTGTACAATGCATAGAGGATAATAATCCCTCTCTCACCCACATGTCATGGGACTCTTACGAGGTTGAATGAGGAGGTTATTTAAAAGTACTCATTTTCATGGAGAGAGTTGCTATAGAAACACAGAGGGATACAGGGACTTTAGAGAGAGGCTTTGGGGGAGTCCTGGGCTGTTCGTTTCTTTGGGAAGCCAAGATATGGAAAAGCTAAAGTTCGGCCTTTGACCTGTTTTGGTCTTACCCCAGTTCTATTACTTCCTCTTGCTTTTAGAATTAGGTGTCCCCTGAGCATACCACACCAGAAGCAATATGCTTTCAGACAGGAAGAATATCCTTATAGCACTACGGATGATGCAGTGGGTGTTTCCAGAATGATATGGCTCAATACCAGCTTTGCTTTTCCACAGGGAAGAGAATAGCATGACTCTGGCAGATTAGGAATGAAAAGTTAGAAGAAAAGAACTTAAAAAAAAAAATCTACCTGCAACTTTTTTATTGGAAATATTATGTGCTGAGCGTTGTATTGAAGCTGTGAGAAAGTGTAAGATTGGTTTCTTCCTTCAAAGAACTTAAAACCCAGTTATAGAGGATGGAGGTTAGTTTTTAAAAAAGCATGATGTTGGCTTTGGGTTTTTCAGAGATGATCTTTGTCAGATTAAGGAAGCTCCCTTCTATTTCTAGTTTGTTGTGTGTTTTTATTTATTATGAAAATCTGTGGGACTTTGTTAGATGCAGTTTTTCTCCTTTATTTTATTATAGGTTGTATCACATTGGTTGACTTTCGTATGCTAAGCCATCTTTGTATTTCTGGAGTAATCCCACTGGTCATGGTGTATATAAGCCTTTCTATATACTGCTGGGTTTGGTTTGCTGGTATTTCTGTTGAGGTTTTTATGTCTATATTCATAAGGGATATTAGTCTGGAGTTTTCTCTTCTTGTCATGTCTTTGTCTGGTTTTGTATCACAGTAATAGAATGAGTTGAGAAATGTTCTTTTCTATTTTGTGGGAGAGTTTGTTTAATTTTCTCTAAACATTTGGTAGAATTCATCAGTGAAGCCATCTGGTCCTGGGCTTTTCTTTGTGGGGGCTCATTTTTAATACAAGGTACAGGAGTATTTATAGAACAATCCCATTTGAAAGAGAGATTTTTTAAGGACATATATGTATGCCTGTATTTGTAAAGAAAATTTCTGGAAGGATACACAAAAACCTAGCGTGAAAAGTTATCATTGGATAATGAGGTGGATCTTAGTCTTATGTTCCTTTTATTTAAAATAAATGAGCATGTATTACTGTAAATTAGAATTAAAAACTATAGCCAGGAGCAGTGGCTTATGCCTGTAGTCTTAGCACTCTGGGAGGCCGAGCTCTGGATTGCCTGAGCTCAGGTTTGAGACCAGCCTGAGCCAGAGCAAGACCCCATCTCTAAAAATAACTGGGCGTTGTGACAGGTGCCTGTAGTCCCAGCTACTTGGGAGGCTGAGGCAAGAGAATTGCTTGAGCTCAAGAGTTTGAGGTTGCTATGAGCTATAACATCACGGCCCGGTACTGAGGGTGACAAAGTGAGACTCTGTCTCAAAAAAATTTAAAAACATTAAATTAAAAACTACTTAAAATGACAAGCATTCGGCCCTGTGCTCTCACTCATACAGTGAGGCCATAAGGCTGTGTATTTGCCATTGGCCTGTCTCCCAAGGGACTCACAGCCTAGTAGGTCCCTGCATCCCTCCCCAGTGTCACAGTCTGCTCCCCTCCTTTCCTGTGCTGTTCTTCATCAATACTGAATTACTTTTCTTTTATTTTTTTAGAAATAGAGTCTCACTTTATTGCCCAGTGGAGTGCTGTGGTGTCACAGCTCACAGCAACCTCCAACTCCTGGGCTTAGGCAATTATCTTGCCTCAGACTCCCGAGTAGCTGAGACTACAGGCACCCACCACAACGCCTGACTATGTTTTTGTTGAAGTTTGGCCGGGGCCAGGTTCGAACCTGCCACCCTTGGTATATGGGGCCAGCACCCTACCCACTGAGCCACAGGCACTGACCAACCCTGAATTACTTTTTAATTCTGTGAAAACAGCCTGCAGTTATGTGCTCTGCTGCTTTTGTACATGCTGTGTTGTTCCCTTTCCTTGGCATCCCTTACCCTTTTGTCTGAACAATTAATTTCTCTTAATTCCTCTTTATCCTTTAAGATCCCTTCCAAATATTAGTTGCCTTCCTTTATGAACACCTCCCCAGCTCATTGCTTATCTGCCATGCAAGGGGAAAGAAAATCTCGCCCTCCTGCTACCTCTCATACATTATGCATATTTTTGTTCCTGAGCTTTGTGCTTACCTTGTGTCATAATCACTAGTTCACATACATCTTTCTCCAAAGTATAGTTTTATTTAATTTTGTGTCCCTGGGGAGCTGAGCACAATGCTTGGCATAGGAGGAGAATTGCTCAAAAATATTTACTTCACTCGGATCAGGAGATGGGGCTTTTTCAGTAGAATGAACAGTGGGAACAAAGGCCAAAGTTATGAATTATTGTGACCTGTTCTGAGGGTATGAACTAGTTTGCCTAGATAGGAAGATACATGCTGGGAAATATGATTGGATGATTTTGGCAAGGATGATATTGGAGGTGCTTAAAAGCCAGATAGAGCCGTCTAGGTAGGCAGATACTGATTGAATGAAGAACACGTCTCACTTCCTTTTGGCCTTTGTTCAAATCTCTTTTATCCTGACCACCTGCTTTAAAACTGCCACCTCTCCATTTTAGCATTCACTTATTCCCTGACCCCAGTATTTTTTTATTTTTAAGGACAGAGTCTTGCTCTGTGGTTGAGGCTGGAGTGCAGTGGTAAAATCAAAACTCACTGCAGCCTAAAAACTGCTGGGCTCAAGCAATGCTCCCACCTCAGTCTCTCGAGTGGCTGAGACTACAGGTGCTTGCCACCATAGCTGGCTTATTTTTCTATTTTTTATAGTGATGAGGTCTTACTATGTTGCTCTGGCTGGTCTCAAACTCCTGGCTTCAAGTGATCAGCCTGCCTTGGCCTCCCTCCCAAAGTGCTGGGATTACGTGGGGTGAGCTGCTGAACCTTTGCCTGTTCCTCATTTTCCTCATCCTGGTCTTCTCCTTTAGCCATACATCATATTTACAACCTTCTGTGTATTGCATACTATGTAATTTTGTAATTTACTTATTTGTTATGTTTTTATTTATTGTCTGCATTCCCCACAAGTATATAAGCTTTCCAGCAAGGAATATCTTGTTCACTGATAATTCCCAAGCATCTAGAACATTGTCTGGCTCATAGTAGGTGCTCATTCAGTATTGCTGAGCACCTACTATGAGGTGTTACATAAATTAATCCAAAATCAATAAACTGGCATAGATAGCTTAGGTATAACTCATATGGCTTATTTTTGAAAGAAGTTTATTCTCTAAAATTGCTTACATCAGGTTGGGCATGATGGCTCACGCCTGTAATCCCAGCACTTTGGAAGAGTAAAGTGGGTGATTGCCTGAGGTCAGGAGTTTGAGACCAGCCTGAGCAAGAATGAGACCTCATCTTTAAAAATAGCCAGACATGGGCGGTGCCAGTGGCTCAAAGGGGTAGGGCGCCAGCCCCATATGCCAGAGCTGGCGGATTCAAACCCAGCCCCAGCCAAAAACTGCAAGAAAAAAAATAGCCAGGCATTGTGGTGGGCACCTGTAGTCCCAACTACTTGGGAGGCTGAGGGAAGAGACTTGCTTGAGCCCAGGAGTTTGAGGTTACTGTGAGCTATGATGCCATGGCACTCTACCAAGGGTGGCAAAGTGAGACTCTGTCTCAAAAATTAAATAAACAAAACAAATAAAATAAAATAAAACAGCTTACATCATGCCAGCTGTTTGTATTCTCATATAATCTGGGGCAAGGCGGGGGGAGATGTGGGGAGAAGGGAGTTGCTTTTGTGTTAAGGTTTCTTCCCTTAAAAATTAAGCTGAGAAATAAAAATTATAAGGACCTTTGAGTTTATTTATTTCTTGCCTAGAAAAATGTTTTATGTGGTTATTCATACCATGCTTTAATATGTTCTCTCTTTTTCTTTCTCTGCAGACCTTTGTAGTATTAAACAGAGGGAAAACTCTCTTCAGATTTAGTGCCACGCCTGCCTTGTACATTTTAAGTCCTTTTAACCTGATAAGAAGAATAGCTATTAAAATCTTGATACATTCATATCCTTTCTACGAACATGGAGTGAGTGTGGCAATTGTTATGATTGCTTGTGTATGTTTCCAGTATTTGACATCTGAATTGTATATTAAGCTTTTTACTAGTGTTGTAGTTGACTGTCCCACTAGTTAGAATTTCAAGAGTGAACACCTGCCAAATCCCAAGCTCAGCTTTGGCAAATTCTTTTTTCTTAGGATGATATTGTGAGAGTCTGGAGTTTTGTTGGTATCACCATGGGGAAAAAATTAAGATAATAACCTTTAATTGAAGTCTTAACTTTTTGAAGTGCCCTGACTTTAGTGATTTCATTGCATGGCAGACTGCTCAGCATGTTGATACATTAAGCTCCAATAAGAGAATTTTGTGAAAGCTACTTCTTTAGTTACAAATAGTTGAATGAATAGAGATCTGTCTTGAATTCTTTTATACTTTTTGAGCAATGAGCTTAGAGTATCTGAGAGAGTTCTCATCATTTGGTGCAGATGGTAGGATAGATTTGAATCTTTTACTCCCCTTCAATAGAAAAATGCCAATTTATTCATGCATCCTAATTTTTATATCTTATTAATAGAGGAGAGCATGTGACAATTGAAAAAATACATGATGATTCTGCCAACATTGCATAATGACTTCAAACTTGCCTGGTTGGTATTTAGTTTGATAGCACTTAGTCCCATGCTTCAAAGACTGTTGTATCCTCCAAGAAGAATGAGGAAACTAGCAACGGCACCTTGGTAAATCAGTTCAGTAAGCTGTTACCACATTTTATTAACTCTAAGAAGTTAGCAACCTGGTTCTAAAATCTGTAGTTGACAAGCAACATAGTTCTGAAATCTGAAGGTTTACAAGAAAATAAATAATTGACAGTGGACTTCTTCCATTTCTGTTGGATCAGAAGATGGAGTGTTTTTTTTCTCTTCTGGTTCCAAAAAGCACAAAGAAAAATCCAACTGTAATGATTTTAAAAAACTCCAGCTGGCTTGGCACCTGTAGCTCATGCGGCTAGAATGGCTAGAACACCAGCCACATTCATCGGAGCTGGCGGATTTGAATCCAGCCCTCGCCTGCCAAACAACACTGGCAACTGTAACAAAAAATAGCCTGGAGTTGTGGTGGGTGCCTGTAGTCCCAGCCACTTGGGAGGCTGAGGTAAGAGAATCGCTTAAGCCCGAGAGTTTGAGGTTACTGTGAGCTGTGACAACACGGCACTCTACCCAGGGTGACAGCTTGAGACTGTCTCAAAAATAAATAAATAAAAGAACTCCAGCTATAAGAAATGCATTGTCTTTTTAAAACTCCATTAGTGGCATAAAGCTGCTGCATGCCATTAACAAGAGAGCATGAGTTAGTGACAAATGAGACATGGCTGCAGTGCTTGTTAATGCATCAGTTAGAATCTGAGAAACTCTGACTGACCTAAACCAGTTTGGTTTTTCTCAGTAGACAAGAACAGAAAGGGTTGAGAGAGATCCTAGATGAAACTGAAATGTTTAGTTTGCTATCCATAAATATTCCCGGGCATGTTGAGAATGATCAGATGTATTTTCTCTACTATGTAATTTGCAGAAGAATGGTGGTACAGATATCTTTGCCTAAGATCCTTACCTAATATGCCACAACTGGTTTCTCACTTTGGACATATTCAATGCACACTGGCTGCATCAGCGGGTACCTTGCCCCCCAGAGACAGTTCAGCCCACTAAAAGGACTAAGGAAAAAAGTCAACCATTGGGCAGCGCCTGTAGCTCAAAGGAGTAGGGCGCTGGCCCCATATGCCGGAAGTGGTGAGTTTAAGAACCTAGCCAAAAACTGCAAAAAAAAAAAAAAAAGTCAACCATTGCATGTAGATTTTCAGATAACTAGTTATGCAAGATAATTAACAATAAATGAGGACTAAATAATATAGATTTAATTGATTTTTCTTGCCTGACAACTTTGGTTACTACATGCAAAGGTATTCCATATTTGAGGTGGAAAGTGGTACACATAACAGGGGGAAATGTTTTATCCTAAAGGAGAATAGAACAGCTCTTTTGAAAGAAGGAGAATACTATCCTGCCCCATCTGTCCAGTTCTGTGGACAGGTGTTGGATATGTGCATACAGTGACATTCTGTGTTGACGGTGCTGACCACAGATTTTATTATCATTTTTGCTTTTGCCTTTTTCTCCTCTCCTGTGCTTTGATTCTTTTCAAGTTATTGATTATAGAACTCATGATACCTAATGTGAAATGTATTTGTTTTCTGTGGAAATAACAGGCCAGATTTTACCCTTGACTCTTCTCTACAGTATTTAGCATGATCATTATGTGCACTATTTTGACCAACTGTGTATTCATGACTTTTAGTAACCCTCCTGACTGGTCGAAGAATGTGGAGTAAGTAGCTCATTTAATTATTTGCTTATTTTAAAGATTTTCATTGCTGAATCTTGCTTTGCCACAATTTATCCATCAAGGAAAAAAAATTAGTTATTACCACTCTTTATTTCATAGAGAAGGCTGAAAATACATATGAAATTTAACAAATATCCCTAGAAGTCAACTCTAGAAACTGAAAGTATGCCCTGACATTATGACCCTTCACACTGCCTCCCGCCCCCTGTGCTGGCTGGCACCTGTGCCTTATAGCCCTTGTATCTCATATCTTCAGTTCCTAATAACATTATTTTTTCCAACTTTTAGTTTCCTTTTCTTTTTAACTCTTCTAAAGTTAAAAATATCTCTGGAGCCTACCTGCTTCAAAATGATCATATGCTAGCTGGATGTGGTGCTACACACCTGTAGCCCCAGCTCCTTAGGAGGCAGAAGCAGAAAGTTCGCCTGAGGCCAAGAGTTTGAGACCAGCCTGAGCAACATAGTGAGACTCTCATTTCCAAAAAAATAAAATTTATTTATTTATTCATTTATTTATTTTGAGACAGAGTCTGACTTTGTTATAGAATGCTTGTGGCATCACCGCTTACAGCAACGTCAAACTCTTTGGCTCAACTGATACTCTTGCCTCAGCTTCCCAATTAGGACTTTAGGCACCTGCCACATTGGCTGCCTATTTTTTTTTTTTTTTTTTTAAGAAGCAGGGTCTCACTCTTGCTCAGGCTGGTCTGGAACTTATGAACTCAAGCAATCTACCTGCCTCGGCCTCCCAGAGTGCTGAGATTACAGACATGAGCCACCACACCCACCTAAAAAAAATAAAAGTTACTATGTACTAGGTGGCAGTACAGAGTTATTCCCTTGGAATACCATTCAGGATCCAAAACAACATTCCAAAGTTCTTGCATTTCAGCAAATTTCATTCACAGCTTTTTAATCCCCCTTTCTGCTGCATTGGCTGTGCCCTTTCTGTTTTGTCTTTGTTAGTTGAAGCCACTCTTCAAATATTATCTTAAGAGGTTCATTTTTAATTTCTATCAGAAATTACCTGAAGTTATCTATTTCTTTGACAGGTACACGTTCACAGGGATTTATACATTTGAATCACTAGTGAAAATCATTGCGAGAGGCTTCTGCATAGATGGCTTTACCTTTTTACGGGATCCATGGAACTGGTTAGATTTCAGTGTCATCATGATGGCGTAAGTTCTCTGCTTACTTTATTGCTATTCTGGGTGCGATTATGTGTATGGGGTTGTACTCCTGGGTGTGTTTGTATGACAGTGTTTGTAAGTGTGAGTTTGTGGATACAGCTGTATGAGGAATTAATGGATAATCATGTAAAGCCCTTTGGGTTTATGCCTATGATTCTCGCTTGTGAAGACCTTAAGTGGCCAGGCAGTGATAGCATATGCTGTGTATGTGGAGAAGGTAAGCAGAAGCTTTCCAGCTGGGAGAGAGAGTAGGGAGCGATTTCCCACTGAAGCTCTTCATATTTCATTCTCCCTTATAACATTGACCAAGGTTTGCCTACCCATCACTGGAGGGCCTCTGCAAAGACTTGGAGTTTTTTAGGTGCAAACCTTCAGCTGAAAATGAATTTTCTAGGTATGTTTTATGTAATTTAATGAGGCTGGCCAGGTGTTGCAGATTTCAGAGCACATTTAAGAGTCAAAACGTGAGCCAAGGTATCCAAACTGGCACTTCCTAAAGAGTTACTAACCATAATTTTGAACTATTGCTAGAGATCAATATGACTCTACACTGGTGGGCTAGCTATTCTTGTGATTTGTGGTGTTTTAGCAATGAAAATATATCTTTGGGAGATTTAGCTAATGACAAAAGAGTTATAGCAGACTTTATTATTTCTGTTTCCAAGTTGGGAAAGCACCTGTCATTTGAGGGGTATAATGAGGATGGTGAATAGGTTGTGTGTATGTGTGTTTGCATGAAGAGGTATAAGAGAGAATGCATTTAAATACATATAGGTCGGGGGACCAGATAGAAAGATGTATTTTACCTGTAAAATATGAGTGAATGGTATGTATGTATTGAATATTTGAAACTAGAACTTTGATTTTCTGTTGTATAAAGGCGGTTTCTTATTTTCTAGCATTATGAATGCACATTAGTGTCCATTTAAAATTTAAGTGTCCTTACCAGGCACTGACCTGATAATAAAATGAGCATTTAACACAATATTTGTGCTTCAATCCCATGAGCTGGATTTTCCTGAGTCCTGCTTTCATATGTTTCAGGCCAAAACATCACCTTTACACAGATTGCAATGATCTGATTACAACCCTTGGATAAATCATATATACAGACAATTAGTCATTTTTGCCATTGTCTATTAAGGAGTTATTTTAATATTGTCTTGTTTTTTGGGAGCTCTTGTTGCCAAAATTTGTTGTCTTTTCCTAAGAAATTATCCACAAAATTTGGGGACATAATCCTTTGATGCCTCCTGGCCTTCCTTTTTACTAACAACAGTAGATGGGCTGCCAGTAAAGCCATTCTGATTGGGATCAGTACATCACTATGCTGATAGAGTAAATCCCCAGAACCTCCTGGTTGTATCAGTTCTTTCAGATGTACTTTGAATTCTCCTTGCCCAAGTTAAATAAAGTGTTTATTAAATGTTTATATTTTGAAACTTCTTTTTCAAAGAAAAAAAATGAAATCAATAGCTTGTATATAAGACCCTTTCTTCCCCCCCATTCTCACACCCTCGCCCAGTGGTACCATTACAAGTTAACTTTGGTTTGATTCTGCAGGTATATAACAGAGTTTGTAAACCTAGGCAATGTTTCAGCTCTACGCACTTTCAGGGTACTGAGGGCTTTGAAAACTATTTCGGTAATCCCAGGTAAGATGGTCCGGGGTTGGTGTTAGGTGTTGGGTTAGGGCCCTGACGTGACGTATTGTACTTTTTGTTTTGTTGTGGTTTTGTTTTTTTCCTTTGGTGTTTGTGTTTGTGCCTGTGTTTGTCATTTGTGTCTGTGTGTGACCTCCCTTACTACAGATATGTGACAGAGTTTGTGGACCTGGGCAATGTCTCAGCGCTGAGAACATTCAGGGTTCTCCGAGCTTTGAAAACTATCTCTGTAATTCCAGGTGAGAAAATTTGTACATAAGAGTGACTTTGCCGCATCTTCTCTTTTCCCTTCATTCATTTTTGTCCACCACATTCAAAACCACTGTCAATAGAGTTGATATGGCCTTGCATTCTGCATGTGTTTCCAGGAGACATTCTCTGGAATGGCCCTTTGGTTCTTAGCCAGTTTTCTCTGACAGTGCTTGCCAGGCATGCAGCCCCTGTTCCATCCATGCTATTGAAAAAGCACGTGCTTATGAATCACTTGGATCTTAACAGTATCTAAAAAAATCATCACATAGCTAGCTGTCTCTTTGTACATAAATCATTTGCTTCCTGATCTCATGGAATTACAGTAATTTCAACATTTGCCCTCATTCCATTGCTTGTGATTTCTAGGCTTCCTATTGCATGATTTGATAGTGGGACATTATTCAAAGAGTTATGCTTTTATTGTATTAATGGAATTATTTAATCACAGAAGAGACCTACCCAGTTAACTAATCCAGTATTATAGACAAATTTTAGTGAACTGAACTTTAATAATCACTATCGTGTTCTACTGCTATCTGTTTCACTAGAGTAAGAACCAATAGACATCTACTATACATATATTCAGGGATCATTCTCAAATATAAATCCAAGTGAAAACTTATGCAGGTGCTGTTAAAATAAAAAAGGTAAGATAAGCTACAACTAAAGGTATGAGCAAATATAAGGTATGAGAAACTTGAGGGAGAAAAAGGAATCAGTGGGTGGGTTGAGTGTACTTGATTGACAATCTCTTTAAAATTTTTGCCTTTTTCTTTTTGGTCCTGGTTGAGCTAGCCCTGTGGTTCTTAACCTTTTGAAGGTTTTGGATCTCTTTGAGAATCAGATGAAAGTTCACAAATTCCCCCTGAAGCCCATCTATAGACCTCAGGTTAAGATTCCGTAATTTAATTTAAATCATTGCAACTGGGTAATACCTCTCTTTCTAAAGACCAGTCTTAAAATCTGGAAGGGAAGATATCTTAGTTAGTCTTGTGAGCCTGAGATATCCTAGCAGTAACTTGGCAGAGGTCAAGACTGTATTGCTTATGGGTTTTCCTAGAGACCAGGTTTTTCACAGCAGTTTTGTAGAAATACAGACATACAGAACACAGCCGTCCTATTCTCGGTATCACATGGTCCTTCCCCTTGTGGCTAACTCAAAAATACTTCTCTTTTCCCCTTTCACATCATCTAAATATCAGAGAGAGGGAAGCACAAAGGTAGAATCTTGGAGAAGGCAGATTTGGAATGTGGTTTACTGAGAACCTCAGGGAACGTAAACCACCATTTATCCATTTATAAATTTGAGCCATGGAATGGTCTGATAAATCCATGCCCTATTAAAGATGAATTCCTTTATTTTTAGCAGTGGTAACTGACTCCTTATCACCCAGAGGCTGGGTATCAGTTGGAATGTGTCCTTCTTGGAAAAAAAACAAAACTGCAACCAAGACTTATCAAGGTTTAGTTTCTGGCCAGTTTAAATGCATTTAACAGTATACCCAGCTTATTTAAGCCCAGCTTATTTTCCAGGCAGCCTTTCACTGCTCATTGATGGTGATCTAAATCCTTACGCAAGCCTATCTTGTTTTTTTAAGCATCTAGAGTGTCACATCTTTACTTTCATTTTTCCTTTGGTCTGTGTCCTCCTCTGGCCCCTTTTAAATAGGATCCCATGTTTTTTGCTCACTTCCCCCAACATATTCTGCAAGGCATCTGTCTCTTTATGTTCTTGTGATCTCAAAACTTCTCTTCCAGAATTAAATTGGAAAGCTGTATTCTGTTCAGTAACTGGGGCAGCAGATGCTATCTCTAGTCTAGCTCATAGCTTCTGTCTCTATTAACTTTTGACCACTGTACAGTTCTGCAAAGATAACTCTCAGTTGATGTCACATTATTTATCCTTAATACACATATAGACTATATATATATATATATATATAGTGTCCAGCAGTGCCTGGCCCATAGCAGTACTCCAAAAATGATTGTAGTATGTAGTAGCAGTTATTATAAAGAAGAAATTTAAGCCCAAAGAAAGGGTTTATATCAAGATTTAGACATAGCCTCATAGTTTGAAATAGATTCCAAGATTCCTATTTCTAGATAGAGCCCCAATTGAGCTGGCTTTGGGAGGCTAACTGAGATGGGAAATAACCTTCAGGGTAGTAAAGCCAATGTTAGATCACTGTTAGTAAGTGGTTTCTTTGGTTCTTGAATTAAAGTATGACTTTTAATCTCAGTCCTTTTGCTACTCCCCATTCTACCTTTTAGAATTATTAAGAAAAATGCAGTAAATGACATCTCCCTCAGGGAGAGTCTTCTCTCAGCCCATGTGAAATTCTGAACTTTCTATCATGATTTCTCCCCCAGAGGGCTGTCATGTTGTTCCTACCTACCTACTACCTGGGTCTCCTTCAGAGGCAGGAGTACCAATGTATGAGTCAGTGGATCTGGGCTCTTCTCTTGCTTGGAAAACTATGTTATTTTGACTCCCATTGTAGAACTGGACCATAGTTCCCCCTTAGGAAAACCATTGTTTTGTGTACCAAGTTTTTTCATGGATTAGGTCAGTGGAACAGTTGCTGTCTTTGTCTTATCCTGTTCCCAGTTTGATCGTAGGTTTTTCCCAAAGCTGCCAGAAACAGAATGGAAGTGAGAGCAACCACAGGGCTGACACTACCTGCAAGATCTCACAAAGCTCTTCAGAAGTCACCACTCCCCTGACGACCCTTCTTCCTTTCATAGAGCACTCACTCCCACGTCACCTGGGATGATGCTGTCCTCCTTCTTCACATCTTTGGTAGATACTCTGACTGTGTCAAAGCCACCAGGACTCTGGAATATTGGGGAGTAGGGTGTATCAGTTAGCTCCAACCTTTTGTATAGGAAATGCTTTACTTTAGAATCTTCTTGTAGCTTAGAAAAGACCAAATCCGCATTCTAACCCTTTTTATTTGTTAACTTGAGACCTTGATATGTATTGTTCATGGTTTGCCTTTTGATGCAAAGGCACCAACTTGAAGAACAGTGAATGCAAACTCTGCACAAAGAGGGTCAATTACACTGGAGACCCTTTCTGAATTTTCTTTGGTCTAGAATTCTCCAGGTTCAACTTGACATTGAAATATTCTGTCTAAAAGCTTATATGTCTTAAAATTTTGTTTTTACTTTGTATTTATCTGGATCCAGGGCACAAAAATGAACTTTAAAGTGACTCGGACAGAAGCTTTATATTCTACATACTCTGATTATACACTACAGGGCTGACATGCCCAAAGATAGGGTAGGGATCTCAAGGGAGTTTTCTTGGACTTAGAGAGCAGCACTTCATGGTATAAGCAGGACTAATTGGGAGAAGCTGACTTGTCTGTTGCTTTTCATTTTCATTGTTATTAAAATGGCTTCCCCAAAGCACTTCTTTGATGCTCATTACTTAAAATCATTCCATGTTGGCTGGCACCCATAGCTCAGTGAGTAGGGCACTGGCCACATATGCCGAGGCTGACGAGTTCAAGCCTGGCCCAGGCCTGCTAAAACAACAATGACAACCGCAACCAAAAAATAGCTGGTGTTGGCTTGGCGCCTGTGGCTCAAGTGGCTAAGGTGCCAGTCACATACGCCTGAGCTAGAGGGTTCAAATCCAGCCTGGGCCCGCCAAACAACAATGATGGCCGCAACCAAAAAATAGCCGGACGTTGTGGTGGGCGCCTGTAGTCCCAGCTACTTGGGAGGCTGAGGCAGGAGACTCGCTTGAGCCCAGTAGTTGGAGGTTGCTGTGAGCTGTGATACCACAGCACTCTACCCAGGGTTACAGCTTGAGGCTCTGTCACAAAAAAAAAAAAAGAAAGAAAGAAAGAAAGAGCCGGTGTTGTGATGGGCACCTGTAGTCCCAGCTACTTGGGAGGCTGAGGCAAGAGAATTGCTTATGCCCAGGAGTTTGATGTTGCTATGAGCTGTGACACCATGGAACTCTACCCAGGGTGACATAGGGCAAAAAAAAAAAAAAAAAAAATCATTCCATGTTTATTCTTTAAAGTTGCACTTTCTTAATTTTTTTCTCCTGGATATTTTATTTCTTTGCTTTTATTTCTGTCCCATTCACTCCTAACCCAGTGGGATCAGATAGGAAGCAGGGAAAATGATGAGCCCTTCTCCTTCCCATTCCAGTATTCAAAAACAAAACACTTTCTTTAAATGTATACATTGTGAACATGGCAATTTTTGCTGCTTTGTGAAGGGAGATATAAACTATGTTAAGACTGTATTCACACTCATTGTTTCTTTAAGATTTTAATCCTACTGCTTTTGTATCTATTTCCACATTGCTTCTTGAAAAAGATAACTAAAGTTTAGCCCTGTTCTAAGTAGAAAAATACAGGATCTCACTGACCTGCCTTTGAAAGCTGGTTTAGTTTAGGGCACACTTTGTGGTATGAATCTGGCCCTAAGTAAATAATATATGGCCTCCAAATCTCTCCCAAATTACTCTTGACCTGAAGAACCTTCAAGAACTATCAGTGTGAGGATTACATTTGCAGAAAAGTTGACAGGACACTACTTTACTCCCAGGACTTGCCTGGATCCAAACCTAACTCTGGGAATGAGGGACTTGTTCTTTCCCCTGGTTGACAACTACTGGTTACTACTACAGAGGCCCGTACCAGTATTAATTTTGTAGAGGAATTACCTCATGTTGCCTCACATCGATTAAATTTCTTAACCTGAGCTACAAAGTAGGGAATATCAATTAACTTTATTTATAAGCTAGCCATCACAGTGGTAGAAAATTTTGGTCTCTATATGCATGACTAATTTCTCTGGATATACCACAAAGCCAGGCTTTGATTATTTGCACAAGGGATTGCCAGGTATTATGAAAGGTGACAGGGAGGCTCAGAGGTGCCTTTGAACATAGAGTGGAGTAGAATTCTATAGCTGTGGCTTCACCTGCCTCTAAGTTCCTTAAATATCAATTTCCTCTTTGGTAGCTGACCTTTCTGTACATTGGATCCAGCTGTCTTTTGTTGGTCTATAGTAGCTGTGTTAACTGCTCTGCTCAGACACATACCAGTGCTAGTTAATGTTAGTCTTTCTCAAGAGTTCTCACTGTCCAATTAGCCCCCACGTGGCTTCTGCTGCACACTCTGTTGTGTAGGAGTCGTTTGAAGGCGCATTCTGCTCTGTTTGGGATAATCGGTTTTCAGTCAGTGTCTTGCTTGTTCTGGCATGTGGTGCTGTGAGCCGGTAGAATAAGCAAGGCAGCCTCTCTGCACAGCCGGAGCAGTGGCATTCTTCATTCTCACTTGCATCAAGTCAGGAATTCTACCAGCAACTTCTTGCCTGTATTGACTTGTGTTGATGGTACCAGAGAGCATTTTTGCTTAGCTGTTCTTACTAGTATGTTGGGCAGCTGCTTACTGGCAAGACTATAAAACTTAGCTTAGGAAATGCATTGGTGACATCATCTCCATAAACTGGCACCGATGTTGCAATTATCAACCCTAATAGAAGAAGAGTCTTGGCTGAGACTAGTGTCTGCTCCAGTGACTGTTTACATTTAATATTGCTGTGCTGTGCCTTCCTTCACCTACAGACATTAAGCTGCATCACCTTTCTTTCCTTTGCCTTCTAATTTTCCTTTACTGATCTGGGTGAGAATCTTGGAGAGTAACATATTAGATACCTATAGTTAATGTTATTTAGTAACTATTCTTGCTTAATGAAGATTTGTTTCTCTGAGCATCTCTGGGGTATAAGCAGCTGAATACCATTTCCAACTAAGTTTTTACTTTAAACTTCTTGAAAGATAAAAGAACTCTCACCACCAAGATGATCTGAGCCCTAGACTTCAAAGTAAAACACTTGAAGAAATGTATTTGTTTGTTTTAGCCTTCTGGGCTCATGTTTGCAGAGTTCTTCAGCAGCACCATCTGATTTGTGGAGAAGAGAAGGGATGTTAAACCAACCAATTGTGAGCGTTCAGGTTGAGCTCCAGGAAAGTGCTGAGTTCCATGGACGGATGATAGATTAGTTGAGTATCTCCGGTTGCAAATAAAAAGACACAGGAATAATTCAGAGAACCCAAGGACTAAATGCTGTTGGGCTTCTGGGAGCCAGTAGAAACCAGAATATGGAGCTAGAAAGCTCCAGGTAGCAGGAAGTACATGGTCTCCATCTCTCTTCTCCCCATATGTCTACTTCATTTTTCTCTCGTAGCATACTAACTTCCTTTACCTCTCAAACACATCTTAATACAATGACAGAAGATGGCTGCTGCTTAGCTCTCAAATTTATTTATTACCATTTCTACCACATGAGAAGATACTCAACTATCTCTTATCCTATTCCACATTCATGTAGGAAAGAATCTGGATTTAAGTCAAATGTCCACTGTGACATTTATAACTGTAGAGAGAAGGGGCAACTTTGTATGAACATAGCTGGCTGAGCACCCACCTTTATGGAACAGGGGATATTGGACTTCATAACCTGGAATTTCCAGTCAGATGGTCTTGGAACCGTCTAAAGGGTTCCCAGCCCAGGAAAATCAGATTACACTCACACTAAAACTGTGAGTTTATTTAATTTATAACACAGACCCATTGGTTTGACTGTTTTATAGTATTATACTCTTGTACAAATACAAGTAACAGTTTACAGCTCATTTCTCAGTTGGAAGGGGCTTGAATGAGTGATCATCCTGTCTTCAGACAGGTGAGAACCATGAGGAGAGATGGCTGTGTAAGCTCTGCAGAAAGAAATCCCATTCTTTGGTACCATTCAAATATTTTTTTAAATCACTCTTTGACTTTGGTAACAGTAGGCCTGCATGATTTTAGAAGCCTGCATTTGAATTATTGACCAGTATAGACCCACCTCAACCCAGTCAAAATATAGTGAGGACTTTTCTATTCCTCAGCAACTGCATGGAAATAAGTTCCATAGCACTAGAACTATTCTTACTTCTTGATGGCTGCCTTCTATTTTATTCAACCAAAACCTTTTAAGCTAGCTCTATGATTATGATATGGTTTCTCAGAGCCTGAGGTATAAAAGGATGGTTTGAAACTTCAGCTACTTAAACAAATAATAAATATCTTTACCAAGTTTTGTCACTTATTTGTGTGACTTAAGCGATATATCCAACCTCTTGGAATTTCTGAAATTTTTAAAGACTTCTAAAAAGGAGATTCTTCAACTCCTTCTCCATGACTCACTGCCATGTGGTGCTGTTTATCCATATTCTATAGATGAGAAAATGAGACTGTGAGAGGTGACTTAAATTTGACCTGAAGCACAGTGGGTCATAAGTGGTGAGAGAACCAGGACAGGATTCTTGCTTTCTGATTCTCAGTCTGCTATTTTTACTGCACAGCCTCGTGAGGAGAAAAGGAATCAGATTAGCAATGTTTTGTTTCCTGGAGCCCAGGCAAGCTCTTCCTAATCCCCTTGGTGGCCAGAGTGGCCATGGAAGGCCCAAACTGCAAGAAAGTACAGGCACATCTCTTCATCACTGCAATCTAAGTCTTGGCTCTTTATTCTTTAATTCCCCTTAAGTCTCTTTTAGGATATCTGTAACATTTCTCATTCATTTACTCTTCCAATAAAAATTTATTAAGTGCCTACTTTGTGCCAAGTCCTGTGCTAGGCATAGCATCTGTTGCTGCTTTTGGACTCTGATCAAAAATTTTATTGAGCACAACTTTGAAAATTCTAGATGATTGGCTTGGCACCTGTGGCTCAAGCGGCTAAGGCGCCAGCCACATACACCTAAGGTGGCAGGTTCGAATCCCCAGCCCGGGCCCGCCAAACAACAAGGATGGCTGCAACCAAAAAATGGCCAGGCGTTGTGGCGGGCGCCTGTAGTCCCAGCTACTTGGGAGGCTGAGGCAGGAGACTCGCTTGAGCCCAGGAGTTGGAGGTTGCTGTGAGCGTGATGCCATAGCACTCTACCCAGGGGGATAGCTTGAGGCTCCGTCTCAAAAAAAAAAAAAAAAAATTCTAGATGATTACTTGCAAAATACAGCAAAAGAAGAGTCATGTCCATACCACCCATTAGATCAACAGCAGATGAGGTTAGCCCTAAGCAGTGTCATTGTCTCAGTCTCGTTCCTTTGAAGATACACAGCAAGGTACATAACTTACATATAACAGTGGTAACAGTGTTAAGTGCTGGCTATGTGGTACACACCATACTAGATATTTTACACTTATTATCTTAATTAAACCTCACATTAACCCAATGAGGTTGGTATTTTAAATCCCTTTTCATAGATGAGTAATCTGAAGTTCAGACAATAATAGTTAATATTTGACCTGTTTACTGCTTTGTTAAAGTGTTTTATATGAATCATGCTTAATCAACAGCTCTATGATATGAAACTATAATTATCCCCATTGTAAAGATGAGAAAAGCCGAGATGCCAAGAGGTTAGGTTTATTACTTAGATCACACAAGTAAATGGCATAACTTGGTTAAGATTGGTGATTATCTATCCAGCTATACACTTCAAACCCAGAATTAGGATTCCTTTGAAATTCAGTCCAATATTCTTGCCTTCTGAAGTGGACCAGGGATAAGGCCCCTCTTGAGGCCTGTATTTCAAGGCTCAACGCCGACCTCTTGTTCACCCCTGTGCATTGGCCACCAGGAGTGTTCAGTGCTTTATTCGCCACGTCCTGTGGACAGCCCGATGTCTAGGTATGCCATGGGGAGCCACATGTAGACTTATGTTGACCCAGTGTGGGTCACTGATCTCTCCCTGTGGAATTAAGAAATCTACCTTCAGGTCTACCAGCGGCTCTCCTTTAAATCTAAAGTTAAAATGAGTTTGTAAGTGTTTTTGTTTTTTATTTAGGACAGAAAATGGTCATTGTAGAAAGCAGGGCATATATGTGATACAGAGGTGTATTTGTAGGATGGAAAGGCAAACTATAAATACTAGTTGATAATAACTGACCTTTTCAATACATTGGCATTTCCAGAGCTCTGGGGAAAATATTATCATATCTTCTTATTAATTGGCTTTTTAACTTCTCGGTGGTTTTCTTTACAACCTGGAAGCCTCCTCAATCCCTGTTTTTATTTGTTTCTTCATCAAATATTACTAGGTACCTCCTATGGGATAGGCACTAATAGATACAAGCTGTGAGCAAGACAGGCATAAAAAAGTTTATTGTAATCATGATAAATGCTGCAGAGGAAAAGTATTAGGTGAGGAAAGAAGAGTTGCAGACTCAGGGAAGGCTTTCTGGAGGAACTGATGTTTAAACTGAGACTTGGAGCGTGAGTAGGAGTTAGACACAGAGGACTAGGTGATGGAAGGGAGCATTCCAAGCACTTGTGAAGGCCCTGAGGCATGTAAGAGGTTGGCTCATTTGGGGAACTGAAAAATAGAGACAGGAAAGGATTCCCAGGAAGAAAGGAGCCACATATTGGTAGAAGAAGCTTTCTTTTGCTTTTTAGAAAATGTTGACTTTAAAATGGATAATTCTGAAAAATTGATGATTTTCATGATCCGTTTTTATTCCCTTGGTATAGAAATAAAGTGGCCATATTTCAAAGGTGGTGCTGTGGGGAGTAGTAGAAGCCACTGGGTAAGAGGGAGGCTGGGGGAGGTGGGGAGGGCATTGAGGTGACTCTGACTCTAGGGGTTCTGTCTCCCCAGGCCTGAAGACAATTGTAGGTGCCCTGATTCAGTCTGTGAAGAAGCTGTCAGATGTGATGATCCTGACAGTGTTCTGCCTGAGTGTTTTTGCCCTGATTGGACTGCAGCTGTTCATGGGGAACCTTCGGAACAAGTGTGTTGTGTGGCCCATAAACTTCAATGAGAGCTATCTTGAAAATGGCACCAAAGGCTTTGATTGGGAAGAGTATATCAACAATAAAAGTAGGTGGCCTCTTCTCTGCAGGAGGAAAAGGGAAAGCCTATCCCTAGTTTATATGGTCAGAAGTCACCATTGATATTAAAATGTAGTTGGAGCCAGAAAGGAAGGTAGCACTCTTGGAAGAATTCTTGTGACATAACTGCCTTTCCTCCAGTTAGGATTTTATTCAGAAGCTCTCAAACATTAGCTTTCTCTCCATTTTCTCTTCCTTTAAAACCAAATGAAACTTTATAGATTCTTTCTATGTACTCCTAAACTTTTGCTTTGAAGTTCAGGCTTAGAAGTTTGATAAAAATTCTTTTTCCCTGGCTGTGTTACCTGGAATGCTTAAATATTTAGTCCAGGTTATACCTGTGGAACGTAAGATTGCTTAATACTATTAAGACCTGAGGGAACAATCAGGTCTAGGCAATCAGGTGGTCTCTAAAGCACCATTTATCCTATTAAGAAGTTATCCAGTTAAGAAGTTTTAATAATTTTGAAGAACCAAAGCGCTTGGATTTTTCTCTTAAGGAAAATTTGGTGTAGTGATACTTTATAAACTAATGAGAAAAAGTTAACAATATCACTATTACTCCTAAGGGAATAAAGTCAGTTAAGTAGCTGTAGGAAAATGTTACAAAGGAGATTTTAGGGATACATTCAGGAAAGGGGAAAATGCCTTCTAATTTAAAAGAGGACATGGTGGCAGGGCACAGTGGCTCATGTCTATAATCCTAGCACTCTGAGAAGTGAAGGCAGAAGGATCGCTTGAGGCCAGGAGTTTAAGACCAGCCTGAGCAAGAGCAAGACCTGGCTCTACAAAAATTAGAAAATATCCCAGCTACTTGGAAGACTGAGGCAGGAAGATTGCTTGAGCTGGGAGTTTTAGGGTCTATGAGCCATGATGATGCCACTGCACTCTAGCCTGGACAATAGAGTGAGACTCTGTATCAAAGAAAAAAAGAAGGACATGGTGACTAGTGACCAGTGAGGAGTTCTAGAATATCTTTGATAAAGAGAAGTTATAAGAATAGCAGAATAAAGTTGTATAAATTAGGGATATAAAAACCAGAACACTTACTTTTAGACTCTTTTGATTTAAGAACTAGAACCTGCATATAGATTTAAAGTATGAGTGGAGGCCAGATAACTCTGAGAAGAGCATTGCACCAAGGATTTCAGGGTAGCACTTTTAATTTGTAAATATATAGGAAAATCATTAATGGTAAAGAATTCTTATCAGCTTTCACTGCTGTCAGAAAAGATTTATATGAGCCAAAGTCAATAACTGTTTCTGCTAGAATGAGGTAGGAGCAGTGCAGCCTTATTCTCTCATCCACTTAAATCTGCCTATTTATTTCCTGCCTCTTCCAACTTTTCTAGCAAACTTTTACACGGTTGCTGGCATGTTAGAACCTTTACTCTGTGGGAACAGTTCTGATGCTGGGTAAGTAGCTCACCTAATTTTACTCTGATTCCTTAAAATATGTACCTATTATTAATTGGATCAAAATGGACAGTATTTTTACTTCATGCTCACGTAGTATACTCTACAATTGAGTCTGACCAATTGGTTGGCAGAGATTTTCTTTCTATTTCATATTTGTCTGTCTAAAGTTGACATTTCACTAGTAAGTGAAGGTGCCTGTAGTCTTAAAGCAAAATCAAAGAAAGATGTAAAAGGCTAGGGATAGGGCTCGGTGCCTGTGGCTCAAGTGGCTAAGGCACCAGTTACATACACCTAAGGTGGTGGGTTCGAATCCAGCCCAGGCCCGCCAAACAACAATGACGGCTGCAACCAAAAAATGGCCAGGTGTTGTGGTGGGCACCTGTGGTCCCAGCTACTTGGGAGGTGGAGGCAGGAGACTCGCTTGAGCCCAGGAGTTGGAGGTTGCTGTGAGCTGTGATGCCACGGTACTCTACCCAGGGGGACAGCTTGAGGCTCCATCTCAAAAAAAAAAAGGATAGGGATAGAATCAGTAACACCAGATAGCTTACCTACCTCTGTGGACTCCTCTCATCCTACCTTAGGACGATTAATACAATGGAGAGTAAGGACACTGTCTTGGTGATGGGTTAGCATTTAAGAGTGACCCAAAATATGTTAGGCCTGACAGCATGGGGGAGAGAAAAGGGTGGCAGCATAATATTTGAGTCCTGAATCTGCTGTCTAGCTCTAAGCCCTTAGGTAGGACATTTAACTCATCTGAGCTTCTAATTTCTTCATCCCTAAAATGGATTTAATAAGCCATGTTCTTTCTTCCTCACAGTTACTATAAGGACCCAATTGTACATCATACATGAATGTACTTTATAAGCAGGGCTATGTAAATATAGGATGATAATATCATCATTCAGAGTATATTGGTCCTCTAGAAATTGATGTTTTAATATCATGACAACTAGCAGTCCATTTCATTTCTGTGTTGAAGTAGATTCTAGAAATTACACTGAGAGAAATATCAGGTGAGTTTAAAAGCAGAAGAAATGGTATAACTGAGGTCACTGAAATCTCTGTTCTGTCTTAGGTTGTCACAAAGAATGTTAAGAGAAAAAAAAAACAATTAAGAGGGACCTCTAGTCTTATGCCATTTGGATAGTAGCTAAGTTGAACTGATTGGATTGTACATTGATATGAATCTGGGACAGTGGCATGCATAAGGATCACCTGACATGCCTCTTAAAAATGCAGATTCAGAGCCAGGCACAGTAGTTCACATCTTTAATTCTAGCTACTCAGAAGGTTAAGTTGGGGAGATTACGAGAAGGCCAGGAGTTCAAGAAAGTCTGGACAACATAGCAAAACCCTGATTCTAATTTTTTTTTTTTTTAATTAGCTAGGTGTGGCTCAGCGCCCATTGCTAAGTAGTTAGGGTGCCGGCCACATATACCAGGGCTGGCAGGTTTGAACCTGGCCTGGGCCAACCAAACAACAATGACAACTGCAACAACAAAATAGCCAGCCGTATGGTGGGCACCTGTAGTCCCAGCTACTTGGGAGGCTGAGGAAAGAGAATCTCTTAAGCCCAAGGGTTTGAGGTTGCTGTGAGCTGTGATGCCACGGGACTCTCCCCAGGGCATCATAGTAAGACTCTGTCCCCCCCCCCCAAAAAAGAAAGAAAGAAAGAAAGGGAGGGAGGGAGGGAGGAAGGAAAAAAACATATTCACAGACCCCATGTCCAGAGCTTTTAATTTCTAGGTTTCAGGTAAGACTTAGGATATCTGCATTTTGAGAGGGTATACCAGAAGATGTCCCCAGAAAATGGCTAGCTACTTATTTCCTTCTTTTAGTTTTTTTTTCCCCCAATTTGTTGCCCTGCCTCTAAGGTCATGGAGTGGGTAGAATTATGTTGTTTATTATCTCCAAGGTTATGACAGAGTGGAATTATGTTGAAAAGCCCTAAATTTCCCTTTCTCTTTTCAGACAATGCCCAGAGGGATACCAGTGTATGAAAGCAGGAAGGAACCCCAACTATGGTTACACAAGTTTTGATACTTTCAGCTGGGCCTTCTTGGCATTATTTCGCCTTATGACCCAGGACTATTGGGAAAACTTGTATCAATTGGTGAATAATACCTTTTTGTCTTTGGTGATGGAGTTTGTATGACGATATGTGGGGTAGGGGCATTTTGTGTGAGTGACATTTTATACATAGTAGCGTCTAAGGGTGGTATTTCTCATAGCTAGCTCACAATGTCAAGTGAATTCTCCCACCTCTCATCCCTGTTCTGTCTCTCTCTCTCTCTGTCTGCACACACACATACATACGCATGCATGCACGCACCTCTCTACCTATCTACATCTCCAGGTTTACTTGCTAGGGAATCATCCCTGTTTCTTGAGTGCTCAGTCGTGATAGCTGTAAAGCTCACAGCCTTGACAGCTCCCTTCTGGCCTGGGCATCCACTTTCTTTCCCTACTTCCTACTGTTTCACCATCTGCAGCATTTCTCCTTTCGGATTTTTGGGCTTAGGGTATGTGTTTAAAATTATTAGCTGCCCCTTTGTGTAAGGTACTATACTAGATTTTTTCAAGATGGGATTTCTATCTATACATAACTTGGAGGCTAAATATATCAACATCTTTGAGATTTGTAATACCTTTGGAGTGGTTCAAGCAGGCTGTACAGATAAAAATAAGATCAGCACTGGTTCAGTGCCCGTAGTACAGTGGTTATGGTGCCAGTCACATACACCAAGGCTGGCAGGTTTGAACCCGGCCAGGCCAGCTAAACAAAAATGAGACAGCTGTAACAAAAATAGCCAGGCGTTATAGCAGGCACCTGTAGTCTCAACTACTTGGGAGGCTGAGGCAAGAGAATCACTTAAGCCCAGGAGTTTGAGGTTGCTGTGAGCTGTGACACCACAGCACTCTACTGAAGGTGACATAGTGAGACTCTGTCTCAAAATAAGATCAGCACCATTTGGTTGGGCTACAGTGGTGACTATGGATAAGTTTTTTAGCTTTGCTAGTTGTGATGGAAAAGTTAGTATAGGAGATTGCTAAGGGTCTTCCAGCTTAGAAATTTTATGACAAGTCATTGTTTTCTCTTTGACTCTAGCATTGCATGATGCCAATTACTTTGAGAATAAGAAACATGTCCCCTTCCTACATGAAGGAACCTCTTTAAGGGAAGCTTCTAGTTCAAATTCCTGAATTAATTCTTAATTTTCTATTAGCCTAGCGTTCCCTCAGGTTTGAATCTTTCTCATGAAGTACTTGTGATTTATGCTAAATTGCATTAAATCTTTGTGGTTGAAAGAATAAAAGTGGAAACTTAGTTATGATGGTTGACATATACATAACTCCAAACCTGTTTTTTCTTTTGATGTCCATTTGCTCACTGTTTAATAAAAACAATAGGCTAAAGATATTCCTTCATATTTTTTTTCCTCCTTACTACCCTTTATGTCATATGGTTATATCCCTCTTTTAAAACCCATCTTACTGCAAAAGGATAAGGTCACTCAAGATGGGGACTTTCTGTGACATGGACTGCATTTCAAAGGTGAAATTTTTTTGTTAATAGTCTTTGAGGACCTGTAGATAAATGAGCTGAAGTCTTACATTCTCTTCTTTATATTTGTTTTAGAACCAACTGATAAAGTCAAGTTTAATTCTCAGCCCAGAGCATTTTTTCCCTTTAAAAAAAAAAAGCAAGCCTCTTTCTAAGAAAGAAGTATGTAGGGAATATTTGGAGATGAGGGAGATATTTTTTTGTCCCAATGGATGGATGATACTACTGCCATTTAATTTAAGTTGAGGAAAAAGGAGGCCATTTGACCACTGGGGACACAAGAAAGAATGGTCCTATTCAAAATGCAAACAGTACTCCTGCAGAGAAACTAGATCCACAAGTTGTTTTTAGCCTGGTTCATTTGATGCAAGTGACTAAGACAATGGTCTTTGTCTTTGCAGACTTTACGAGCAGCTGGGAAAACATACATGATCTTTTTTGTTTTGGTCATCTTTGTGGGTTCTTTCTATCTGGTGAACTTGATCTTGGCTGTGGTGGCCATGGCTTATGAAGAGCAGAATCAGGCAACACTGGAAGAAGCAGAGCAAAAAGAGGCTGAGTTCAAAGCAATGTTGGAGCAACTTAAAAAACAACAGGAAGAGGCACAGGTTGGTGATGAATTCTTTACAACAAGCCTTCCTGTCAGATTGTGATGACTAAGGCCCCATCTGATTGCCACTGCAATTGGTCATTTCTAGGTACAGTTTCAAATAGAGGTCAATGATCTGATTACAATAACCCAAGTAACAACTGCATATGATTGATTTAATTATTTCCTTTGTCTTAATGCCCAAATTGTTAATAACTTTTGTTGAATTTCCCAGCTGTTCAGTGTTCAACTGGTAATGATGACTGGAAAGAAAAATGTGACCAAAGCAGTTTATATAGTGTTTCCCATAAGCAGAGTATTTTGTTGAGAAAACATGATTTCTGTGATCAAAAAAGTATTGTTTCTAATTAAAAAGAAGATATAGTCAAAAATTAAAACAAAATTTGGAAAACACTTGTGATCCCATTACCCTAATAACTTTCTAATCCTTATCCAAATATGCATGTATTTTTACATCGTTGTGCCCATTATATATAATATAGTTTTTAACTTTCATTTTCAGACTTGCTCAGAAGGGATCCTCTTGGTACCAAGAAGACAAGCAAGTTCTTGTTTGAGGTATTCTAGAGAGTAAATCCCACCACTGGGTTCTGCTCTGATCACTTAGGGGCTGTTTGCCAGAATACAAATTCAGCTAGAATGTGGAGGCAGCCAAGACTTGCAGAGCCTGTTCTAATAGGCTGGGTTTCCTACCTTCCTCCTTTTTCCATCCTTTCTCTGTCTACAAGAAGGAAACGCTGAGGACTGATTGGTTGACTTTGGGTAGCTCTAGTTAAATGCTTATGGTCTGGTCTGTTGCTGCCTCCTTTCCTAGGCTGCAGCAATGGCCACCTCTGCAGGAACTGTCTCAGAAGATGCCATAGAAGAAGAAGGTGAAGAAGGTGGGGGCTCTCCTCGGAGCTCATCTGAACTTTCTAAACTCAGTTCAAAGAGTGCCAAGGAAAGACGCAACAGGAGAAAGAAGAGGAAGCAAAAAGAACTCTCTGAAGGAGAGGAGAAGGGGGATCCTGAGAAGGTGTTTAAGTCAGAGTCAGAGGACGGTATGAGGAGGAAGGCCTTTCGGCTGCCAGACAACAGAATAGGGCGGAAGTTTTCCATCATGAATCAGGTAAACTCTTTGCATTGGGTCAAATAAGCCTAAGAAATTCTGGTTTTCCTAGTCCCACTTGATTTTGATTTTATCCTTTGGCCTAACCTTTTCCAGGCCCATCTCAGCCTCCTCTGTCCTATCTCTCTGTGCTCCTTATTGTTCTCCTCTGCTGCTCTAATCCTGCCTTCCCTTCTCTGAGGTAAAAGCCAGCCCTAAGGCTACCTGATCCCCTGCTGCGTAAGGTATATGTTAACACTCGAGTGCCTCACGTTCTAAGACTTCAGGAAGAGCTTTTCTCCTCTTAGCATCTGGACGTCAGAATTTAGCTCAAACATCTTTGTTTAAATATTATATACAGGAAAACCTCCATAGTTGACTACCTCCTTAAGTTGACTTAATTTCTGTAGACTGGATGTGCACCACATGTATGTACCAGTATGGTAGCCCTAGTTCCTTATGTTGACCACCTCCATATGTTGACCAGCTGGTTGCGGCCCCTTGGGCCGTTCTGCTGTATAATTAATTGTAGGTAAGTATGATAATAATAATGGTGGGAGTTAGGGAACTGTTTAGGACTAATTATTTGAGCACGACAAGTTCCACTAGTTAATTATTTTTGATACACAGTATGATGGTGATAAGTAAGCCTATAGAAGATGAAAAGCCTCTAGTTTTTCCCTACTGTGATATAAATGGGGTAACTAAGACAGAGAGAGGGACAGGGACTTAGGGATAATTCCTGAGCATTCTATTACTGTAGACATCTCACATGATAAGTATTTTTGGATTTCAAAGACCACTACCAAAAGCCAATTTCTAAGCCATTTAATTCCTCTTTTTAAAGAAATGCTGACAAGTCTATAGGAATAGAACAGGTTATAGTTCATGTTTATGGCAGTGTTTCCAGTGTCTTTTTCTCTTTGACGGGTATGTTTATGTTCATACTGTCCTCACTTAGATAAGGTCCTAAGCCAAGGTCTGTTTCTTTGCACATGGTTAGCATTCAGAAATTATTGGGCAAATGAGTGCAAGACTTTGGGAAATCTGATTTAACCCCTTCTGGGTCTTCTTTATGGCCTAGAGCCATCTCTGTCTAACCTTCACCTCTGCTTTCTCTTAGTTCAGCCTCTTTTGGGGAAAAGTATGATTGTGGCATTGTTGTAATACTGCTCCTGTCTTGAGAGCCATCACTGAAGTAGTTAATGAATACCTTAGTGCTGTTAATGCCTTGCTGTTGAATGATCTCTGATTATTCTGTAGGCTTTAGTACAGAGTTGTACTGATTGCTCCCTAGCTCAAAAAATAAAACCAGGCTTCTAAGATGTCCTGCTTTGCATGAAAATGTTCACTTCCTCTAATTTCCCCATGTGGAAAAACATTATAAATTCCTAGAGACCATGGCAGCCTGCCAAAACTTGCTTAGACACCCCACATGGTAGTAATGTTCTCTGCCCCAGGACTCTCTTGCTGCCTCTTTGGAAGAATGACTAAAAGAACTGACACCTGGAGAGATTAACATATCCAAGGTTAAAGAGCTCATAGGTGTTCCAGCCAAGATTCAAACCCAGGTCCATGTGACTCCAGAGCTTGTGCTCCTACTCAGCCCTCTCTGCTGCCCTACACACATACACTATCATCTCTTTGTTGGCTTAGTAAGAAATGTTCAGTTTCTCCACGGCACAGTTCAGGTCATGTGTCAGTCTCCTTTGCTGCTGCATCTTTTAAGATGGCCTTGAGACATCTGCCCACCCATTTCCTACCCAGTTCTCTATAGAAGGCTCAGAACAGTTTATAATTACTAAGTCGAATCCGTTTTTGGAAAGTATTTTAATTATTCTATTGCAGCAGTTCTTAAACTTTTTGGTCTTAAGACTCCTTGATATCCTGAAAAGTTATTAAGGGCTTAAAGAGCTTTTTAAAAATGTGTTTTTAATTTATCATATTAGAAATTATAATTAAGAAATTTTGCAAATACTTATTTAGTAATTTCTTAAAACATAATGATAAACTCATTCCACGATTAATACAAATTATATATTTTTTATAAAAATCAACTATTTTCTAAAACAGAATAATTAAGAAGAAAAGAGATATTGCTTACATTTCTGTAAGTCTCTTTAATCTGTGATTTAATAGGAAACAGCTAAAATATCGTACCTGCTTATGCAGGCATTCAATGTGTTACAGTATTTTTTTTGGTTAAAGTATTTGAAGAAAATCCAGTCTTGTACAGACAGGAAGTTGGAAAGGGGACTTCCTATTAATATTAATAGCCTTTTCATGTAATTGTGAATGTTCCTCTTTGATGCCCTTCTAAAACTCAACAGTGGCAACTTCTTTACTGGTTAGTTATAATGTGAAATCTGAAACTATATCTGTAACTTTGTACTCTCTTATAATAAAATATTTTGCTCTATTTTGTGCCATCGATCTTTAACCCATGAATGCTTTGCACCATCAGGTATTGATCATTTGGGAAATCTTAGTTCACTAAGTTATGCAAACCTTCCAAATTCTGACCTACAAAGGGAGGGAGCAAGATGGCAGCCCAGTAATAGCTTCTTTGCAACCAGGCACAGTGTGATTGGGGAGAGAAGACTCCAGGCATCTCTGGCTTATGGGCTCTGCCCAGAAACATCCCTTTGGGGATGTAGGGAGACAGCGAGAGACTTCTGGACCCCAGGAGGAGGACAAAAGCAGTGGAGAAGTGGCAAGTGGTTGTGTTCGTTTGGTCTGAGGCCATGGCTGCCGGAGCTGTAACTACAGCAGCAGTATGATTGCAAACAGGGAAGGCCTTGTGGGGTTGTTTTGTTTTTTTTTTTGACTTGGGCACTCTGTTGAACTACCTTGGGAGAACTTGGGTGAGAGTGTGGATGACTTTAAGTGTTGTCTAGGGTCCCAGACTGAGCTGCTGAGCCAGAACAGAGCTAATATTGTTGGGCTGTGGGCCGCTTACACAGCCATTGTGGGAGAACTGCCCCTGCAGGCTCCACCCTCAGGGTTGCAGAGCAAGGCTCAGGCTGGGACACCTTGAGCAAGTGATCTAGTGATTGAGCAGCACCAAAGGCCAGGACTGAGATACTGGGGAAGAGCAAAGCTTTCAGTGTTTGGCAATAAGAGGGCTGCCTTGTAGCCTCAGGGGCATAGAACGGGACTGGTTTTAGCACACTGGATAAGCCGGCAGCCACTTCAGGAAAGATCCCAGTAATAAGTGCTTTCCTGGGAAAGCTTCTGCTTAGCCAAGGTTAATGGTTTAAAGTGTCTTTTAAGTGGGCCGAGGAGAGATTTAGGTTCTCAACCCTGTGGGGTTTCAGAAATCAGCAGAGGCCTTGAGTCTCCATCTCATACAGCTGTATCAGCATGGTGATTAACATCCCATACCACAGAAGATCACCTCTTGCCCAGACAATATTCAGCAAGATATATATATATATATTGCTTTGGTTTGTTTTGCTTTGTTTTTAGAGACAGAGTCTCATTTTGTCGCCCTCGGTAGAGTGCTGTGGCATTGCAGCTCACAGCAACCTCTAGGTCTTGGGCTTAGGTGATTCACTTGCCTCAGCCTCCCAAGTAGCTGGGACTACAGGCGCCCACCACAACACCCGGCTGTTTTTTGTTGCAGTTTGGCTGGGGCCAGGTTTGAACCCACCACTCTCAGTATATGGGGCTGGCACCCTACTCGCTGAGCCACTGGTGCCGCCCTGGTTTTTTTTTTAATTTCAACATTTTAGCCTCTAGATTTTTCTTTTCTTCTTCTTTTCTTTCTTCATTTTTCTAGGTTAAATATAATTTTCCATTGTTGCCTTCTTTAATAATAAGAACTTCATTTTTGCTAGTGTTTCCTTCCATATTATTTGGTTTCCCCCCAGTTTTATCCCATAAGGTTTTCTGTTTATTTGTTTTGGTTTGATTTATAGTACTTTTGTCTTTCCTCTCTGTTTGGTTGGAGGTGGGGTACCATGTCTACTCAGGCTGGCAAAGAGCTGCTGACCTCAAGGAAACCACCTAACCCAGCACCCCCATAAGTTCAGGGTTTTTAAGGTTGGGTCAGAGTACCCTACTGTATACCTTTATTACTCCTGTCTCCCTCTTTCTGTGCCTCTCTTCTTTTTGTCAGTATTCCTTATACTCACCCCCTCTCCTTTTCTCTTTTTTCTTTTCTTTAAATCTTTTTTTCCTTCTTGCTCTTTAGACTTCTCGTCCTTTTGGTCCTGTGCCAAAAGGACTCATAGAAACCTTCGGCCAGAGGCACCATAACTTAAACAGCAAGAGGAAGTGAAAGGAAAACTAGGGCAAGGAAACAAATGAAAGAAAACACTCATGAGAAAGAATCAGCAGAAAAATCCTGGCAACATGAAAAAGCAGTCCAGAGCAACCCCCCCCCCCAATGGAT